AAAGATACGTGTATTTTTCCTCTACCCTCACTCTCCACTATCTGTACATGTGTTGACAAAAGATACGTGTATTTTTCCTCTACCCTCACTCTCCACTATCTGTACATGTGTTGACAAAAGATACGTGTATTTTTCCTCTACCCTCACTCTCCACTATCTGTACTTGTATTGACAAAAGATACGTGTATTCCCCCCCCCCAGGATATGCGCCAGTGAGATGCTGGTCACGTGCGCCTGTTTCAGCCCGCTCAAGGCTTCTCTCGTCTTTGCAGGGATGGTGAGTCAGGGAGTCACAGATGTGTGGGGGGTTGGTGGGTGCTCTGGTGGGGTTTGCTCCTTCTTTCCTATCAAATAGCTGTCGTCCTTATCTCTGCTCATTCTATTTTGTGTTTGTTATCTCTTCATTATAACCCCTCTAATCGTCAGCACTTGTTTGACCTTATTGTGTTGCAAGCTAAAAAACAAATAGTGTGTTCATGTGTGAATGATGTCTGTTTCATTGTGATAAACTAAATGTCTCCACTGGTGTCAATAAAGGGGAAGTTTTATTTGTTTATTTTGTATCCTCTTCTCCTACTTCTTCTCGTCTTCCTCTTGTCTGTTTTCATCATATAACGACAATAGCCTGTGACTGACCTGAGGTGTGTCATATATATATAACGAGCATAGCCTGCTACAAATTGTGTATCATATATATATATATAACGGCCATAGCCCTCTACTGACCCCTGGTGTATCGTATATATATATATAAAACGACCAATAACGAGCATCTCCAGCAACAACTTGTGTATCTCTCTCAGTATGACGGCTCTGTGGCATTGTGGGATCTCCGTGAGTCGGTGGCACAGCACCGCAGTCTACAAGTGGAAGGCCAAGAACATCTGGTTCGATTCCCGACCTACAATACAGGTACGATGAAAGGTTTTTGTCCCCCCCCTTCCCAAATTTGGCAACACTTGTAAATTATGTTGGAGATATTGCGACTAAATGAGTTCATCGGGAAATCCCAGAACGGTGGAAAAACGCCGTCAGCCGTCAACTTTCACCAGCATTGTTCACTGTCTCAACCATCATTTCTTCTCCACACTTTCCTCCACAAAGACAGGTCGGACATCCATGATTTCTATATCCTCAGCTTCTGCATGCAATTGTGGGTGGTTGGCGGGTGCTCTGGTGTGGTTTGCTCCTTCTGTCAACAAACTTGTGTATGTTACTCTCTTGTAGCACCTCTAATCTTTGCCCTCCGTCCTCCTCCCCCCTCTTTCCCCTCCTCCCCCCCC